CAGAAAATATGACTTCAGCCACAGAGTGCTCAACGCCTGGAATGCTCTACCTGACTCTGTTGTTGCATCCTCAAACTCCCACAGCTTCAACCTCAAACTGTCTCCCGTGGACCTCACCCCATTCCTAAGAAGTCCGTAAAAGGAGAGTGCATAAGCGCACCAGTGTGCCTTCCGTCCCTGTCCTATTGTCCCCAGTTATCTGTATTTACTTCCTTTGTTCATGTTTATGTTCTTATCTATACTTATCTTGTAGGTGTTTGACGAACAAAGTAATAAATAAATAAAATGTGGACAAAATATGGATTCCGGGAATAATATGGGAGATTGTTTTGAGGTTGTTGTTTTTTTAAGGCAGGCAGCATCCATCAAATGGGAGTTAACTGCATTGGCCATTGTTTTGCTTCAACCCACCTTAGAAATTCAGCAGGAGTTACAAAACTCTGGTTGTCCTATCAGTCACAACCACGAACAAGCAAATCCTTCTGGTGACTCCGGTTTTAAGATTACTCAGTTAGATTGCGCAGGACGAAGGAGAAGGATTGGGCCACCCTTTCCCACATTCGTATCAGGCTGTCAAAATAATATAAGGTAAAGGTAAAGGTTCCCCTCGCATGTATGTGCTAGTCGTTCCTGACTCTAGGGGGCGGTGCTCATCTCCATTTCAAACCTGAAGAGCCAGCACTCTCCGAAGACGTCTCCGTGGCCATGTGGCCGGCATGACTCAATGCCAAAGGCGCATGGAACGCTGTTCCCTTCCCACCAAATATGGTTCCTATTTTTCTACTTGCATTTTTTACATGCTTTCGAGCTGCCCATTTGGCAGAATCTGGGACAAGTCACGGGAGCTTGCTCCATTATGCGGCGCTAGGGATTTGAACCGCCGAACTGCCAACCTTCCTCATGAACAAGCTCAGCATCTTAGCTACTGAGCCACTGTGTCCCTAAATCAAAATAGTATAGTAGAGCCTTTATTGTCATTGTACATCGTGTATACAATGAAACTGGTTAAAGGAAGATGAAATCCATTGCTTTTCCAAAAAGATTTACGAATTCTGGTGTCTACGCTTATATATATTAATCCATTCACCTTTCACCTAGTCTCACTCCTGGATATATTTTTTTTTAATGTACTTCACAAAGGCCAAAAAAAAAAAAAAGATTTATAGAGTATATAAAGAGGAACTGAATAACGAAGCCCGTTGTAGGGGAAAAAAGGACAACTGTAAAGTTGAACAAAGTTTAGCAACTTAAGATTCGGAGATGAAGAAGAAAAAGCACTTACAAGCTAGTTGTGATTCTGGAGGCACTCCTTCACAAATCTCCATTGCCTTTTCTAGTAGCAGAGAGTTACCATGACTTCTAGGAATATGCACTCTCTCTCTCACTCTGTCTCGCCCTCTTTCTCTCCCCCCCTCTCTCCCTTTCTTTCTCCCTACTTCCCTCTCTTTCTCCCTCTCTCCCTTTCTCCCTCCCCACTCTTTCTCTCTCCCTACTGTTTTTCTCTCTCCCCACGTTCTCACTTTCTCCCCCTTTCTCCCTCTCCCCGCTCTCACCCTTTTTTTCTCCCTCCCTTTCTCGCTGCTTTTTTCTCCCTCACTCTCCTTACCTCTTCCTCTCTCCCTGCTTCTTCTTTCTTTCTCCCTCACTCGCTTCCCACTCTTCCTCCCTCTCTCACTGCTTTTTCTTTCTTTCTTTCTCCCTCTCTCTGCTTTCTGCCCTCTTTCTCCCCTTTTCTTTCTCCGTCTCTATCTCTCCCTCTCTCTCTCCCTGTTCTCTTTCTCTATCTTTGTCCCTCCCTCCCTCTCTCTCTCTCACACGCAAACATAGAGAAACACAGAGAGGGAGAGATAGAGAAAGACAGAGCGAGAACGGATGTCGGGAGGAAGTGAGCATACCAGCTTCAACCTCATCCGTTGAAAGCACTTCAGAACTGCAGTTTGCAAGTTTCCTTCTTGTTCTGCCTCTCTTTTTTTGTCTTTTTGCTATTCTGTCAGTTGCACAAGAATGCCTCAACAGTCGTCCGTCTGGTTGGTTGGCTGTTTTGTCTTTCCCTGCATAAATGCAACAGTGATGAAATCGGGCCTCAAATAAGGTTGATTCTGGCAGCTGAAGATAAGACTCCCCTCACATCTGGCAACAGGCTGGCGGTGAGGACATTCAGCCTAGCTGCTCCGCCCTTCGTTTTCTCCGAAATTGCTTGTAAGCAATGCAGCAAGACGTAACGGATCATCCGTGCCGAACACAGTCTATGTCCAACAGGATGATGAACATCAAAAATTTCATCCTGAGAAAGTCCTTCAATCTTTATCGTCCTCCGTTATTGTATTGTTTAATGTAGCAGAGAGGAGAAATGTCTTGTCGTAACTGCACTTCATTTAAATCTAGTTATATTGAAAAGAAATGAAATCAGCCTGGCATCCTGCCCCCATATGCTTCCTCCTGGCTCTCTGTCCATAAAACATTTTATTATCACAATGCGTTTTTCGTCCTAAAATGACAGGCCCAAAAAACTGGCCTGTGGTAAGGAAAATGAGGAAAATTGGTTAATTAGAAAGTGGGGGGGAGTGCATTTCCTCATAATTAGAATGCAAGAAGAAACAAAGAGTATGGAGAAAATATATATATTTTAAATGTAACTCTGTGGGCTGGCAAGTTATTAAGCTGCTTCTTCTGTTGGCAGAAAAAAACACATCTTAAATCCATTTAATTATTTTCTCCTTTTGGCAAACGGTGTGGCAAGTCAGATCGCATCAGTCCAAAGAGTAAGATTTAATAAGCACCTTTGTTAACACTTTCTCCCTTTTTTTAAAAAAAGCCTCCTATTCTTTTCTTCCTTAAACCACTGTGCTGAATCAGCTGCAAAGACTGCCCAGATTTCGTAAGCTGGTGGCCAAGGATATTTTTATGCAGCTAGTAGTCAGTTCTGTAAATGCCAATGTTGAGCGGAACACACTCTTAAAAGCAACACAATTCACATCAGAGGTACAGTGAGTACCGAGAACGGAGTATTTATAGCATTTTCACTCGTTCCTGTTCCAGAAATCAGAAATCTTGCTGAAGTACAGGATTTATGGTGTTCGGTTTTCACCGGAAGGCTTAAGGTCTTGTGCAATCTTTGGGATTCATTCATAAATAAATGGGAAGAGCCAGAATGTTGCAAAACATCTTTCCAATTCAGGCCTCGTTTTTCAGAAATCCAAGTAGCAGTAAGCATACACACCCAGATTGTGGTGTGTGCATTCCCTCGCTCTTAAAAAAAGCTTCCTTCCTTCATTACCACCATACCTCCAGGATGGGTGAGCCTCCGTTTTGGCAAAGGCCATCGCTGATTCGGGGAGAATATGTCAGCAGATGTGCTGATTCATCACCGGTTTATCAAATGCATAGGAGGTGAGGGCTCAGCAGGACATAATAGCCAGCCATCAACACTCCAATCAACTAAAAAGCAGCCTATGAATACCAGAGGCAGAACAGCCCAAATCACATGCTATGTTAGAGAGAAGTTCCCCCGAAGATGGGCTCCAGCACAAGTCCAAAAGCTCGGAAGACAAAACATCTAGTCCCAGTGACCAACCCAGATTGGATCATGCATTATTATCCCAGGACACGTAGATTCAATCCTAGGTAGAGGCAGATAGTTCTCTCTCCGGGCACAAGGAGAATGTATCTGCTGAAGGAAACTCCACATTGGCAACAGGAAGGGCATCTGACCATTTAACACTCTCCTAGCTCCATTCAGTTGCCCTAACGCCATCCTGTAATGATTCTGGGGTCGTTAAAAGATGGTGAGGATAGGATGAGACGTAATTCACCTTCACTTGTCAGGGAGTTTGGGAGCTGTTGAATATCCTTTTCTGTGGAGCTGCATGGGAGCTCCAGAAGTCAAGGAACATGTTCACCAAGCGCATGAGAATTTTACTGATGTATTTGGAATAATAAAAGAAAGCAAAACTTTTTTTTCTCCAGATGAACTGGTCAAAATGCACAGGGGCAGAACGTCGAGCTGGTCATAAAAATAGTAACTTTAAAAGCAACTGCCTCTGTGTATTCCTCCTTCTCTCCCCCCCTGCCTCCAACTTTTAAAGACACTACTTCTCAATATTTATTTGTAGTTCGTTCAATCCTTACTTTTAAAATTGATAAATTGGTTGATAAATTATAAATTCTGTCCATCATTTCTCTATCATTAATCATCTAAGCTGCATCCCTATCTATCCATCTATTGCTCTATTATCTCTATATCGTTCTTTTTGTCTATACATCCATTTAGCTACCCAGTTATCTATCATTTATAATCTATACATCCTTCCATCCATCCATCTACAGGTAGTCCTCAACTTATGACCCCAATTGAGTCCCACATTTATGCTGCTGAGAAATTTGTTAAGTGAGTTTTGCTCCATTTTACGACTTTGCTTGCCACTTTTGCCAAGTGAATCACTTGCATTTGTTAAATTAGTAACACAGTTGTTCAGTGAATCTGGATTTCCCATTGGTTTCTGCTTGCCAGAAGGTCATGACCTCATGACACTGCGATTGTCGTAAATGTGAATCCGCAGTCAAGCATCTGAATGCCAATCATGAGACCCCGATTTTCAGTTGTGTGAAAAATGGTTACAACTCACTTTTTTTCCAGTTCTGCTATAATTTGTCACTAAATGTTACAAGTTGAGAACTATATCTGTCTGTCTATCTTCCTTCTATCCTTTATCTATTATCATCTGTCAATTATCATCCATCCGTCCGTCTTTCTTTTATCTATTATCATCCATCCATCCTTCCATCCTTCCTTCCATCCTTCCTTCCTTCCTTCCTTCCTTCCTTCCTTCCTTCCTTCCATCCATCCATCCATCCATCTCTGCTGTACTATGCTTTTACAGCATATGTTAGTTCCAAACATATTATCAAGAGCTTCTTTGCTATTGCAACATCAAAACTAAACAGGCTTTTTTAAATTCAGCAACATATTGCATAAATCAAAAGTTTCTGAGCAAGAGGGAAAGGAGAGAAAAAAGGTTTTAATTTCTTTACAAGTCAAGATTAGGTCTTTACTTTTTCTTCAAGCACCTTAACAGCAGCGCCTTGTTCAAGTTCAACAGGAGAAAACAGAGTTATTATTTAAATAACATTTAAACGTTTTCAGATACAATCCAAATACTATTCATTCTGCAAACAAAATTCATGTGTTGTTTTTTTACTCTTGAGTAGGAACAGATTTCATTTGTAGCAGAGCACCTAAGTCACACAGTGTGCAATTTAAGGATAAGGGAAAGTAACCTGGCACTTCTCTTTTCTGACTTTTAAATACTTCTTGGGGTTAAAGCGATCCTTTAATACTCAGTACAATTTATCCAACATCAACTTTCTACGCTACATGTCTACGATATAATGTACTTTGGAGGACACAGAACCAGCCTACATAGAAACTTCAAAAGTGCTACAAAACGGAGAAGACAAGAAATCTTTATGAAAAAAAGGGGGGGGGAAGAGAAAGAGATAATCTACACCTCTTGGGAATTTATGCACCTTTATAAAAAAGGGGGTGCAGCTAAAGCTGGTATTGCTGAATTTTTTCCTTGAAGGAACAAAAGATTCCATCTATCCGTTGATCCGATAGTTTGAATGGATTTGAGGCTGGATGTCAAAGATCAAATTCAGCACGCTGTCGATCACTTCCTCCCGGTTCTTTTGGAAGTTCTCCTGGAGAACGGCCATCTTCTCCTGGGTCCCCTGTTCCACCTCTGTGGCGGAACTACCGTGGGAGCCGAGCGCCTGCGATAAAGGGAAACAAAAAGAAAAAAAAAAATGAAGGGAAGCCATTTAAAATCCACTCGTCCAGTTACGTTCTGCATTTCCAAGAACCATCAATGATTCTGCGTGACACAGTCGAGCAGGGTTTAA